TTGAATTGTATCGTTAGGTTATCGATATCCTTAAGGCTTAACGTTGTTTCCAACTTCAAAACAAAATTTTAAATAAAAGAGTAGAGTATCTATTGTATCATTATTTTCTATATGTTTACATATTTGATCTGCATAGATCGTCTTAAAGAAGCTTTACCTCTGTGCTACATACGGCTCCAAGTTTGTTTTTATTTGTTTTAAGAGAAGAGTGTTCTCAATGTTGCATTAGATATTATATCGTCGAGTATACACTTGAAAGAATGTTATTCTTAGTTTCAGAATTACTTGCTAGTTTGTATATATTATTGTTTTTGAAACTTAGATTTTTATTAGGAGTTCATGTAAATTATATGGATATGAAACGACCCTAAATACTGAATAATTTATACTTGAATGGTCTTTGTATTTGTAGTAAGTGGAACTTTTTAAATTGTTTAAGTAAACGAATGAATAAAATAATATTTAATTTCATATCAATTTATAAAACATTGAAAACGTTGAATGCTTTTTCCTGTCTGACAATTGCATTGCAAAATCCCATGTCAAGAGGTAAATGTACAATATTTATGTAATGCAACAATAATTCACAGTAACCAAATTGTCATATTATTTATACAAATCTAAATATACAATAGAACTTGTACATTATATTTCAATTATGACCATATGAGCAAACATTCCAGCAATATCAGCAAAACAATTTAGGTTGTGGTTACAAAAATGTTTTAATATATTTTATTAGGTACTCGTATATATAAACATAAAACAACTGGAATAATAAAAAAAGTATCCTCGGTAGCAGTTAAATCAACTAATTTATTTTGGTTTCAACGAAGAGGACAAAGGATAAACAATACATGAATCTTTAAGTTGGTACACCTGCTGAATACTTGAATTTAATACACCTTACTTGTTTTTATAACCAAAGATCGTTCGCTCGCAATTCATAATAATTTCATGAAGACAAATAAAATGAGTTAAACTTGATCCAATAGATAATGTATATTAGTTTATATATATGTATATCACATTCGACTTGAGGCCTGTTTTTACTATTAAGATCGGTAATTAACGGCTAATACTGTTCTTTGCTGTGTAATTTAGATTACTGGAAACACGATCATATATGGCAGATGAATTAAAAAGCCCAGCCTAGTATGTAGTCTTTGTGTGTTAAAGAAAAAAAAAACATAATATATTTTTGTTGTAGTTGAAGTTATTTACAAATATTTAACTCTAATTGACAATAACAATTAAAATTTTTTGTTGGTCTGAATATCAATTATTATTGTTTTTTATTGAGTTTGAGATGAACGAAGTTCATTCAAGTTATAATTATAAAATTTAAATAATCATCTATTGTTAATGCATTAAATTATTAAAATATAATATGTGTTTCTGACCTACCTTTGATAGAATTTATGAAAATGTTTTTCATAGTTATATTTCATTTCCGTGTCCTCAACTATAAATATAATGAACTTCCATAGTTGTTTAATATAAACTAGGTAATTAATATTTTATACATAATATACCTAAGATCATCGATTTATATTTGGCTTTCTCCTCATATTTATATTTTTTTACTTTATTTATTTTGATGATGACTGCATGTATTAAAATATGACGTACTACAGTATAAATCCATACGTTATAAAGATAGTTATAACAGTAACTAATAAATAAAGAACGTGGTGCTATAAAAAGTTGTAAATTAAAGAGAGATATTTATTTATACAAAAGATTGCTTTTATTAATAGTGCGTTAAATATTTTTTTCGCTGTTATTTTATTTAGCATCGTTTTAACATAATTGTTCACAGTATTTTAGACCTTACGACTTTAAGTTACGAGATAAAAGCCGAGTCGTCAATCAGTAAACGTATAATAATTGTCTCTGTATAACGAGATGAAAGAGATGGTGTCTATTTTCGGCTACCGAGGTGTTCGCGACACACTGTCAGCTAGATCGATCAACCGGACCGATATAATATTGGCAAAAATAAAAAATAAATTATAAAGTTATTTCTGTTAATTATTACCTACTTATATAGGTGACATTTATAACTTGGAACCGTAATCACATTACAATGCACTAATGATTTATTCACAATTGTGATTATTGGGTTTCTTTTTTTATCCTTTATAGTGTTTCTGACTATAAATGATTCAAATTAGGAGTTTACATATGAAAAATATATATCTGTAAAGCAAATATTCAAACGTTGAAATTTACAATAAAAGTAATTGTGCATTTAAAAATGTGTATACTATTATGCTTCAAATCCTTTCATACCATGTGTATTAACCCTAATTATTATAAATCTGTCGGCGATGGCGGTACATGACATTGTGAGGTTTTATTTGTTTGGAGCGAGTAAATTCACACAAACAAGTGTTAGGGATGTTAATTACAATATGTTCTTGTGTTAATATTGGCGTGGCGTCCATTGGATCGCATTTTTTATAACAATAAAACATACAAAAGATTGTTAATTTGTTCTTGCTGAATACTGCTGTATAATCAAGACGGAGTGTTTTTACTGACGTGTCATTTATTGTCATGGTGTACTTACTCGTATAGTAAATAATACTAAGGTGCCGCTGTTCAATATATTTATTAAATGTTGTAATTCATTTAATAAATTACAGTAGGTAGATACCATGATACAATTATAATGTAAACATAACGAGCAAGTAAAACGTTGAATCGTAAAATAAGTTATGTTCGTATTAGGAATTAAATCAGTATTTGATATATTTGTGTACAATTATATTCAAGGACCTCATATCAACTTATCTTTTTCTATAATAATGTTAACGTTGTTTGAACGGGGGAAAAAGACACCCCTTCAAAAGAGATGTTTTAATTAGGATGAGAAATACGAACGATTAAACCAACGGAAATATTAATCTGGATTTACATAAAACAAAAAAATATTAACGTAAGTCGTATGAGTAACTGTTGGTTATTAGGACTGAATAGGAGTTAGCCTTAATTATTTTTTTTGGTTATATTGAAATCGTAGACACTTCCGTTAAACAATAACAGTATATATATATATTTTTTAAATGTTTAAAATGGGATAACTACATCAATAAATTAAATATAATTTTCCGTTCCACATAAAACAATAATATACTTTTATTAGGGCATATGTAATTCCAACATTTATAATGTATGCAATGGTCTACACACTATATATAATGATTTGTTTTATTAAACTAACCATATTTTATGAGTGACTTCAGAAGAAAAATTACGATTATTTCATATGTTCTCCAAGCAATATTATAACGGATACAGATGTTTTAAATGGTAATATTTGCAATATCATGGCTAATAAAATAATATTGTGAAATTTTATACAATAATTATTATGAAACACACTTTTATTTGTTAAATTTACCTCTTAATGCAATTTTTTAATGCATGGATTATTTAAAGAAATGAGAATTTATCTTTAATAAATGAGAATACAGTTTTATACAGGTGTCAGAGTTTGAGTGACTCTTAATTTCATGTACTTTGTGGTATAATAGGTTTAGTTTATCTATTAAGTTAAAACAAAATTTTTCAGTTTACAAAACCAACATATTCATACAGTTTTATTTAATAGACGCATATTTTGCTAGCAGTGGAAAATAACGTGCACTACTTTATAGGTATCTTTTTTTATCTATTTTGAGGATTTATACAGAAATTAACAAAAAAAATCCAATTTGGAAAAGGAGTACTTATAAAAAAATCTATTTTTAAAAAATACGTTTATAAATAGCAAATTTTATTAGCACAGTGAAAACACAAACAGTATTCGAACATTAAGGAACTTATAATTTATTAGTTTTATTGCATATTAATTACAAAAAATAATTTTCATCAGTAGCTTGAAACAAGTCTGTTACCTCTTCAATACTACATACATTCATTCGAAATGTCACATGAGTTTTCTACAATAATCAGGACCGTTATGAAGTTATATTTGAAACGGGATTCTAAAGCTCGGAAGTAATAAAAATGTGTTGTTTCGTATGTATGTTTTTTTGTATAAAAACAGTATCAGAGGAAGTTATTGATACGTTATCGTGTACTTCGATCGGCACCTCTTGTGTTATATTGAATAAAACAAATAAATTAATATATTACCAGGAAGGTTCGGATGTGAGATAACCGGCGTATGTGATATCTAGATACTTACATGCTTTCTTGTAACTGGCTCATTCGCTCCGGATACTAGAGAAGTGTACGTACAAAACTATTCTTCTCAATATATTTTTTTTATAGAATTATTAGTCTGGTTGAAGTACTTAATTTAGAAGTATATTAATGTGGTTAGGTATATCTTTTGAGTTGCACAGTTTGGGACAAAAATTATTTGTGCCAATGCTACCTCCTTCCCTTCAATTGAAGTACATATAAGATAATAATAGTGAATAAATCAAATTTCTTCAGTATTAATTGATGCCAAATAAAATATAACTTAAAAGTATCTTATACTAATAATAACTGTGTCCAATTATTATTGGTCTATTTATATCATAGTGAATTCATCATATTACAGTTTATATTATATAAGTTTTTGTTTCTATAATTGTGATACTCTACATAATTCAGTTGAATAATATAATACTCACTTACCTACATACCAATAATCATTGAACTCAATACAGTTTAGTTTACCTCTATAGAAATCCATATGTAAAGGTAACTAAAGATATTAATACCTACCTACGTATTTATATTTGCGTTCAGTTGTTTTAACTCAAGCCACGTACCAAAGTTAATCCTATGCTTAGTATTAATAGATGTTTAACCGCTTGATAGGTGATGTATTTATCTTAGCTTCATACAATATCTTCGCAAAATTGTATTATCCTTTTCAGCATTCGAATCTAAACCAAACAAATATATTATTAGCGTCGATATTACGATGTAAGTCTCAAAACTTACGGCACTTTGGAGAGTTTTGAAACAAAAAAAAAAGGTCAGAGCCAATGTAATCAGGTCATCTCGCTTGCTATCACAGAATTTTGCGGTGTAGAGTGAGATAATGGTAGAGCTGAACAGGCCGTACTGTAAGCCGCATCCGGTGTGTTGGAGCGTGTGATTGGCGAATTCGGGGATGGAGGCGTGCCGGCGTCACAGCATCGCGTCGCCCCCTCAGATGTCTGCTGGTGTTGAACAGTCCCGCGTTCAAATTTCGAACAGTTGAATGCGTATTGTAACTGTTTGGCGGTGAAATTTACCGCGCGAGGCGACGTTGCCAGTCCGAGCTGGTTCAGGATTTAGGAGGTAATATAATTATATTTCTGGGACATTATTCATAGTAGGGTTCCTCAAAGCTTTCTAATGCTTTAGCTTTTGCACATTTATATAGGCGCGATAATGATAGTTTGATATGACATAAAGACGATAAGGGTTCACAATGTTTACATACATTATTGAGAATTGGACGTGTTTCATAAGAATGGAATATTTCTGAATTTTGATCTACGCAACTTCAAAACATTAAGGGAGCCTCACACGAGAGTAATATTATAAATAGTTTTGATATTTTTTCGAAATAAAAAGTATCTATTAAATACTTAGTGTTAGCCTTTTATTGGTCACTGGTGGCTTTAAATATAATTTTAGCCCAATTACTTTTATACGCTAATTAAATAAACTTAATTCTTCCAAGGGCTACCCATAACAAAAAAAATGCAATCGTGAACCATAATATCATTTATTAATTAAAACACACTTTTTTTACCAAACAATTTTATTTACTAGCAACCCAAAAGGAATACGACATTATTGACAAATAGATATCTGATTTAATTCACTCGAATAAGGTAATTGCATACTACGAGTATGTATTACAACTATGTTACAACGCAACTTAATGTGTATAAGTACATCACTGATGTAAGCTTTCCTACACTATGGTTTATATAATATTAATAATAATAGTTTTGGATTTTTTAATTAAATGACTATGAGATTTGCTTTAAAATAAATTTACGTTTTTGTTCTTTATCTGTTATTAAAAATGTACGTTGCATATATGCATGTACGTACGAATACGAATACGAATATACGAATACGAATGTACGTTGCATATATAACAAAAATTATATATTTATTTTTTATGTAATGTTTAATACAATATCTACACAGTTAATGTAAATTGTAATTTACATTTAGTTTCACGTTTAACAAATTTGAATAGAAAAATGATTTTTTACTAGCAAGACTGTCACAACGGAAATCGATCTCAGACCGAGGTCCGATCATTATAGAGAATTATTAAGTGTAGCAACATTAACTTCCAGCGAAATAAACTATTGAATAGAGAGGTCTTGGGTTAAACCGGATAAAGAAAGTATTTCCAGCTGAGAAATTACATCGGATTTTCTCACAAATAGAAACTAAACTTTAATATTTAATATAAATTCTCTTCAGCGCTAAATGTCTTCATTTTAATTCAATGAAAACTGCTTCGCTTTAAGCGTTTCATATAAAAATATCTTAATTGAGTATAATATCTGTTAACTGCTGATTGTGTATTTTTACATTGTTGTTAATTTATATAAAGCTGATGGTGTCATTGTTACATAGACGATTTATGACACCATTGAAATAGACAATGACATAAAAAGATTCCTCTCACAAGTCATCTATAAGTATATAATGTACAATAGAAATCACACAATAATATTACGTATTTGGAAATAGTATCTCGTTAGGATGGAAAAGAAAACTTATAAAAGTTATGTTTATATTACATTAATATTTTTTTTATGTAATCTCATTTGATATGAATGATGGAATTTGTATAATAAACTTTGCTACAGATTACATTTACTTTTAGAACTAATATTGGTAAAAAAATATTCTTAAACGATCTTGTCATCATGTCTCTTAAAAATTATTTTTATTAATATTTATTTTAATAAATTATTAAATTATATTCCTCTTTTATTTGGTAGTTTTGAAATAAGAAAATAATTATCGTGATCTTTGTATGTTATTACTTTCTAGTTACTTGATTTCTTTACCAGAAAATGTGAAACTCATTTTTATTTTAGTTGTAATATTGTGTCTATTCTTTTATCACTTGTATGAATCTTAGATAGTCAACCCGTCATGTATAGCGATACCTAAACATCCCTTTTTGATATATAAAGTATGCAATTTAAAAAAGTTAAGGTTGTTACGTCTAGGAAGTGCAACATGTGTTTTTATCAATTATTTACTTTATCGTCATTCTTGTCAATGATATATTATAATATAAAATAAATATGTTACTTTAATTAAAATTAACAAGCGTCCGCATTTGCAAAGCACAAATAGTTATGGTACAAAGAGACTAGCAACATTGTTAAAATACAAAATTATCTACGTTATAAGTAGAAATTTCCACGTGTAATGGGAACGGGGGAAATAAAGTGTAGAAATGTAATGTATTTCTCATAGCGAGACTCTTCAAAGAGCGTTACTATGAAAAATACGCGGAAAGCGCTCACTGAAGACTACTCTAAGGGTTGTGCCCTTTGAAATATCGTTGGGTTTTCTTGATGACAAATGTACGTGTTCGCGTTACGAAGGGAGTGGCGTAGGGTGTATGGAGGCTGAGGGATTCCGCCCACTGGGGTTGATTTTACCCTCTTTTCTGTATCAATTGCATCGCAGTTGCGAATTTCATCTTCAGATGTTGAACGTTAATTACGTTACAGTAAAGTTCCTGCTATTAAAAATAACTATAGTTAGTGCTATAATGTCTGGTTAGTTGGACATTGTTCTAGTGTTTCCTGTATTGAATAAGAGTTAACATCGGAATTCACAGAAAATTGATCGCCATATTGCATCGATATTTTTTAAGAGTATGTATTGAATTACTTATATTTTTTTTATATAACTAGTTTTAAATATATATGTATATATATACATGACATACATGAATGTGATTTCATTTTATAAATAAATAATATTAATAAAATAATAAGTTCATGGAATATGTTTTATTATATTCCATATTGTTATGATAAGTACACACGATTACAAGAAATTTATTTTCAATCAGGTCTGTACTTCCATGAATTTATAATCCCAGTAAAACTCCAGGAAAAATATTGTTTCGAATATTTCGCTCTATTTTATTTTAATTATAATTGAAATTCAAATTATATAACATTTTTCACACGGCTTAATTAGTAAAATTGCAGTAACAATTTACCGTAACTACCTAATACGTATGTATTCACGGATAATTATCACAGTTTAAGTATTATTAATTACAGATGAACCCAATCTGTTGAGGTTCATGAATTAAACATTTCGATCAGTTCTCTTCATTAATTATGGCTCACGTATCTGTTTGGTATACATTAGGTATATTTCGCCAAAATCAGGTAGGAGGAAAAACATTTTCAAATCATTCTGATGTTTTGGCAGTTACCTTTTAGTAAAAAAAAATCATAGTGACAAGGCAGTTGATATGAATCAAAATGTTAGGTTGAATTTTAAGTTTGAGTTAATATCTCTTGTTGAAACAGTCGCTATTATGAAGCAATCGCTCGCATACCAATTAATTATTGGAGTCGATCAGGCCGCAATAACAACTGCTCGGTTTATGACTCCCACTTTGGAACACCCTTATCAAAACTAACAACTGCCATAAAACTATTTACAGTTTTAGGTTAATAAACGCATAGCTGATAAAAACTTTAGGAGCTATTTTGTTTGCGATTAGATAAAAAGCTCGTTTGTTTTAACCGCTTTAATTGTGAAATTTTAATTATTCTCATATACCTACCTACCAGCATCCGTGCGTAACTCGAAACATTTTAAATATTTATTAGTTTCCGCCATCACATTTTTGTATGAAGTTAATTAATTGGCGTATTTTTATGTGATGGTAGATAATAATATGTTTATCAAGATTTTCATTTCACATAATTCAGTCCAATAACTTTTAACAATTATTTGTTAGGTAATTTTATTCGACAGATATTTCACTGAAACTTTTTAATTTATTAAATAAAATATATTTTGTTTTGTATGAGCATAATAATTAGTCCCTTACAATCTGTTACGTCTGTGTAACGATTTTAGTTCAAAGGATAATACGAATACAAGGATGGATTATGGATTATCTTGGTTGCTGTGACAACATCAGAACCTTGTGGATTAATATAATAATGTAATAATAAGAATAACATACTTATATATTGTATAAAATTTTTTACTGTTCATACTTTTTGAGAAACGTTTTTATTAGTTTTAGTAAAGTTTACATATATATCTTCAAGGTAGTAATTGATATTTAAAAGGAATAGTGCTAATTAGATTTTCTGGAAGTTAAATAAGTAAAGCAAGAAATTCTGAAAATCGATAGCTTTTTTATTATATGATTAGTTATTAATACTTTGACAATAAAGTCCTAGCGACAGAGTTGTATGTAGCTTCTAAAGTTGTACTGGTTTTAAAACTTTATATTATCTACAAAATAAAATTGCACCAAATAAAATATAGCATGTTTATTAAAATATCTAATGAGTTTAATTGTTATATAAATATAAACAATGAATAAAGCAAACGATATTTAAACCAACTTATAAGCTTAATATGATTGTTTCAACGTATCATCTCGCTTTGTATTGAATAAATCTTGGATCTTCCCCACAAGTGTTGTAGCGAGGCTTTGTGATCACTAATAATGCGTGTTTATAGAGAAATTCCGTCTTCAAATACAGATTTTACTGAAATACATTTGCAAATAGCACGACTCACATAAATAAACAATACTTAGCTTTAATAATATTTGGAAGTCATTTTTTATTCGTTTTGTAATCATTTATAAAAAAAATATATTCAGTCAACATGTATATTAATCAATAAAAAGCAAATGACGAGTTATAATAATATCAAACTAAAATGGCTAAATTTTAATTACTGAGACCGAACAGAATTGATTGTTTAAATCTATTTTGATGGTCGAGTTCAAGGAGACTTTAATTCTGTTTTGAATACGTACAACAATTATTATTTTATATCTGTATTTAAGTAACTGTATTTTATTAATCTCTTTTGTTTATATATTTTTATATTCATTGTACTCTTGAGTTGTTTACATGCGAGTTTTGTTGCTATCTGATCGATATAGGAAATTTATAATCGTCTTTATATGTCCTTTTACTTATTATAATACTAACTGAGTTTATAATTATACCAAATAAATAACCACTAAGTCTTTCATACAAAGGACGTGTTTTAATCCATCATATTACGTTTTGCGAAACAAGAAACAAGTATTTATTTATAATACGATAAACTGAAGAGCGCTCGCTGTACATACAGCACGTATTATGTGTCTATTTAAGAATACGACAGACCCGAGACGGGAACAAAACAAAAACAGTTCCCATTGTCTCTCCCAATAAAAGAGTCCGCCTAGTATACCTCCATATTGTATAGCCAGCCATTGTATACAGATTCTGAGGCTGCCTTCGTCAGAGAATTATAAATGATATGCTAAGAAGGCACCAGATAGCGTTTTATATGGAAAACTTATGGCCCGGTATTCAAATTTATGATTTCTTTTTTTGTATTGACATAAGAGGATACATGATATGTATTTTGTATTCATGTAATGGTAGGTTTATTGTATTTTTTGAGTTCGTTATATCACTAAGGTGTATTTTGTGCCCTTATTGAGATTAAATTATTAGGTATTTTATTAAAGATTTAAAAAGTTGCAACAGTTCTTTTAATTTTGATTATATATATCACACACATTTTCATTATCTAAATCGACAATCATTGAATTTTTTCTTTTACAACAAAGGCGAGAGTCAAAAAATTTTCCGTAATGATGAGAAAAATCTTCATATTCACGCACCTTCGTTTCGAAGAAAATTCAAGTAGGTACATGCATAATGATGTTATACCGTTGGTAAATTACATAAAAGGAAAATCTTTAAACAATAATTAATTCCTTTCTCAGACAGCTTTCTACAAAATTACTCATAAGGAGTTTAATAAAAATTTAAATTGTTATTGGAATATTTTAACAGGTCCGTCACGGAATCCCGTCTTGGTATTATCGAGCCAAAACAGACGAGAAATGTCTGAACCAACACACAACGGAGAGACCTCTGTACAGGGAGAATGGAACCTTGTTATATGAGACAGAGAGTCCAATCCGGCTAGCAGGACGGAAAACGGCAGTATGCTTAAGGAAAGAGAAAGCTCCGAGGGGTCGCCTGCTACCCCGGACGAGTGCGCGGGTTGTGGGGGCAGAATACAGGACAGGTGATGAATCTTTTATACAATATTCAGATAACTCTAGTAGTTCTGTAATGTTATACTGTACTAGCCTCGGGGATTAAAATAATTCGCACTCCATATTTCCGATCTATTTTAACGTAAATACTTTAAAAATTGCTAGTGAAGCAATTTGCTAGCATTTAATCCAATTAACAGGCAGCTTTTAAATTTGTTTTTTTTTCTTTATCGATACTAATTATAACTAGAGTAAACTGTTATAGACGGATTATTAATGTATGTATGTTATAAAAGGGACAATTTACCCTTATAAAATATGGTGAACATTGATAAAAAAATATTTTAATATTTATAAAAATTGAGCTGGAATCTATTTGATACGTAATTGAAAATAAGAATTTAGCTTATTCTTAAAATAATCACAACAAATTTATTCAATTATTTAGGAAATAAAATAAATACATTTCATACTATTGACAATTTTACACAGAATACATAGAATACATTTCTAATTACATAATTTTATTAAACTGTAATATCAGGCTTAAAAATATATACAAAAAAAAGAAACACTCTTAACATTAATGGTTCATAGAAAGAACGGCTAAGATAAAAAGAAATCAAATTAAACATATATAGATGAGGCAACGTGCAAATACATGTATTTATTTTGATGATGACGCAGATATTACCTTCTTGCTGTGGACCGTCAATGGCACGGTGCCTGTCTGCGATGCTGCGAGTGCCGACTGCCGCTAGACAGCGAACTAACATGCTTCTCCAGAGACGGAAACATTTATTGCAAAGACGATTATTACAGGTAAAAATTATCATATATTCTTATACTGACGATGTAACGCGTATGAAGAAAATGTAATAGAAAATATGCAGTCTTTATTTCATTAATATTTTTAATAGTATGCTTTAGCGAATTATACAGGTAGCGAATGAAGCTCTGCGTTTTTATTTTGTTATTATTATAAATATTATTTATTTCATGGTCTTAAGTGTGACAAGACAAAACTGTTATGTCGTATCTTAAATAAATCTGGTATAAAGACGATCCGTATAATGTATACATGAAACATATGTCTTTAGTGTGGATATTGACAGCTTTGTGTAGCAAACTGTAGTGTTAGGGCAGTATCTAATTTCAACTCCCCATCGACACTTGCTTGGTATACGCCGGTTCAAACTGCATATACATATATTATGTATCCGTTTACCAAACGATTTACACCCCAAGACTGCAGAATATGTTACATTAATAGGTATATGTACAAAATTATTAAATTTGCCTGAACAAGAAAAAATGTAACGTCTTGTAAGAATATCGTGCCGATATTCATTGTTATTTTTTTCAATAATCTTTTATTGGCGACAAATTAAATCTTAATTAAAATATATTTAACAAGTTGAAGACGTAGTTTCTATAATCAATAATGATCGTAAAATTACAGGTGTACGTCATTATTGGTTCACCCTTATCAATTTTGACACCTGAGATTGAAACTTGACATGATTTGACATATCCCCCTTTTGTTTATCCATAACATATGGTGTAATCATTATAAATGCTTGGGTATATTATTCCTATAAATGCACACACAAATTTTAAATATATATCACTTTATCTTTGTTAAATAAATTTAGTTATATAGTTATATTATATAAAAAACAAATACACGTTTAAAACTAAAACCGTTTTTATTATTGTACTACAAATACCCAGAACATTGAAGTATCATTTCAATAAGCTTGCGTAAAGCTTATGGAACGAAGTACAATGTGTGCATTTTAATCGGATAACATTTTTTACTAAAGAGTATCCAGTATTTTTCATGCTCGTAATAAGTCATATACATCTTTCTATGAATCTTCCAAACTGGCTTACATAAAATATGCATTTATATTTTTACATATAAAAATATTGGGTTAAAATTAAATTTACTTTTACAAATTTTTAATAATTTAATGTTAGTGGGGTGAACAATTAACATTAAATTGTTAAATAAGTGGAGCCGTAGTAAAAAATTATTTCAGATTATTTTGCGTGAAGCGATGCGCGAGATGCGGTAACGGGATTACCGCTAACGAGCTGGTAATGAGAGCCCGAGACATGGTGTTCCATCTAACTTGCTTCACATGCGTCGCCTGCGGGACCCTGCTGTCCAAGGGAGATGTGTTCGGGATGAGGAACAGCCTGGTGTACTGCAGACCACACTACGATAGCGTCTGTATGGATGACTTCTGTGAGGATGACGTCAATAGTGTTTACAGGTAAATAGTAGGCAGAGCTTAAAGCTATATACTATACATACAAAATAAGATGAATGGAAACATAACAAGTCAAATATATTAAGACAAGTTCACGTTTCACTATGTTCAATTAGGAAGAAAAATATATGCTACCGCAATTTGAAACTCAGGTTTTGAAATGAAGTTATACCGCTCTGAAAAATAAATAAGTAAAGTTTATTTTATGTACTTTCCAGTTAACTTAGTAAGTATGTAAAAAGTTATGCGAAGCTATAGGAAAGACACTGCTAAAACTCTATTAATGAAATTGAAACTGAATATGTGATATAGTAATATATATAAACTATTTTTGACTTAGGGTTTTCAATTAACGAGTTACATCTTAAAAAGTTTTTTTTTTATTTTACATAATATGTATTATGAGTACCTAAAGTTGATATAATATTTTTTATTTATCAATAGTAATGGATGGTTTAAGTTTAATTAATAACACGTTTATATTTGATAAGGTGTCAAGAATTGAACAGCGAAGGTGACTCTCCGAATCAGTACTTTCCCGTAGGCGTTAACCAGAAGGGTCGGCCGAGAAAGAGGAAGATAGCTCACGGTCCTCATGAAGACATGCAAGTACAGACGATGAGAATGGCCAGTACGGCGCTAGGTAAGAATAACTCTTATTGCTTCACGGCATGCAGCTCTGCGAATTTATATGTAGCGAATTACATTTCGGGAACAAAATTCTATGGATGTAAATAAAAATAAAATACCTGCATTATAATTTTTTTGATCCGATTTGAGTCGCGTCTTAATGACGCACGTTTACTTTTGATCGTTTTTATAGCAAAGGTATAAATTAACTACCAACGACTTTCCTTTAACAGATCTCTCTGTGATGTACCGCTAGCGACTTATAAGTACTCGTTCATACAGTATAATTGGTTATCATATTTAATGTTCGTTCCGGTCCATTCAAGGGAAAAACTCTTACCAGTTAAAGCACTCCTTACATATTTTATTGAGATGGACTATCGCTAAAATTTAGCAGAAATCTCAAAAGGGAGCACGACTACGGGTTCCCGTGCGGGCGTCCCAAATGTCAATTCATCCCGGCTCGACCGTAATCACCGCTAATGAATAGACGTGGAGCTCTTAAAACTGTTTTTGTCTCCCTTCCGCGCACGGTGGCATCATAAGCAGGAATAGGGGGAACGCTGTTGACTCCGTTGGACCCGTCTCCGGGGTCGGTCGTCTGGATTATTCTTTATAGCGTCGAAATGCGAGGCACTCATTGAGGTGAATTCAGGCTATGTGACTCCTCGACCCGATTAATCATGACGCTAGCCTGAATGAACCGCCGAATGACTCTTCGTTATTTTTTTCGCCAACCTCATAGACGCATCTATAAATGTTTACAGCTACCTTGCCTTTCTTTTATATAAAAGCGTAACGTCTTTGAAGTTAACAGCAGTTTAATGGCTCTAAACTTAGAAATTATTGTATAATAGGGTTTGTTTCGATAATATTTTTTTACAGAGCTGTATCCACTTGTACTTACTACGATTCTGCGTACGAAATATTAATAAATTCAATTACCTTTATATCTCTGATCTCGTACAAGCTACTTCAGATTATCAATTAGTGTTTTCCCGCCAAGCTATCCGCCATGTTGGCAAACAGCGCCACTAGAGACGCGCGTGACATCGATAATGGGAACTAAGGACTCTTGAAAATGTTACGTGCCTTATCGATAAATCGAGATATCGATTATTGAAAAGTCACTCACTTTTGAATCTCACGGAAACTGTACAGATTTAGTTCGTATGTCAAAATATTGATATACATAGCAGAAAATTTATCCAAAGCTTCACACCGTAACACAGAATAAATATAATCGGATAATATTTAATTATTTCAATATAATTGTTATAAACGAAATTAACTTAAACAAAATCATTTTACATTTTCAATAAACCAATAATTTGGTTGAATACCATTCAAAATAAATTTGCGCATTTAATTTAATGCATTAATTTGTAGATATTTACACATCACGTGATGCGGTTGAACTATTAAGTAAAATAGAATTTTGTTTTAATTAATAAATTCCAAAAATAATAATAAATAAATAATACTAGCTGCGTAAAGAATGACATCCACTTGCTTATCTAATACTCAATCGCGAAGTAAGGTAAGCATTGGTTACGAAATGTAATCGATTATAAGTTCAATGACGTTTAAAATAAAGATGGTTTTTACTTAACAACACATGACTCACATTTATCGTGCACAGCGGTAAGCGGCACTTAAGTGAAGTCAACGCAGAGGCTTTTTTTAGATGTTAGAATTCATAAGTAAATATTATAATGTGTTCTCTTTAAGCATTCGCATCTAGATTTTGAGTTATGATAAATATTTTAATATACACTATCAAATATAGTGAAAGTCATTACCGACTGATATTTATTAATATAGTCTAAAAAACATTAAAACATGCCCACTGGATTAAAATAACAATAAAGATCGTTTTCAACGCTGCCTATTTATATATTATAATCTTTATCTTCATAGCACAATGGCGATGTGCAATATAAATATTAAAATTATATTACATTTTTTATTATTCGGAACAAAAGTAATTCATATATTATAACACCGTGGCTTCATAAATCATGATAACACGTCGCCCTAAAGATAAATAAATGATATTTATAGTTTTAAACATCAAACATAAAACATCATTATAATAAACACAAGCTAATAGTAAAAAAAAAAACAAAAAAGTTAACCATTTAACTTTCATAAATGCTCGAAAAAGATCACCTGTTCTAATTAACAAAAAAAAAAACTTCCTAACTCCGCGGCCTTGTTTAATATTTAAAAAAAAACCATTGACTTTTTAATATAATTCAATAAAAGTAAGATAAATTTTATCATTGAACTAGATTAAAATTTATAATTTTGTTTAAAGCCGATGAATGAATAGTGTGGCGTGATTTCCAATTACATTAGAATTTCGAATAGATAATTGTACCGAACATATAATATGGAAGTTATGAAATTGATTACATCTAAGTTAATTCCCTCAGACATGTTGTGTTTATACACTTACGGCTTCTTATTTATTTGTATATGTGGAGTTCTAACAACTTTATTGGTCAAATGTCGTCAGATAGATAGAGATAAAGGGCATTCCGACCAAACGGTGAATTTATCTACACTGGCCAAAAGCGCCGATCGCACTGGACTTTCCAAATACTTCATCACGATAATACTCCTATTGCGTTAAAGTTTTTGGGTTACAATTATGGGCAGGTGATTGGAAGGTTAGGTATGAATAATGTCATTAATGATATTATTCCGATAGTTTTTAGAATTGTAATGAAAGTTATAAATAAAAATAACTTTTTGTAGTTTGACTGTTATTTTGGGTATATGTTTGTTATAGTTTGCTCCTTTAAATAGTATTTTAAAGTCCTACATATGAAGGTAGGTATTTCCTTATAAAAAATTTTAAGTATGATTTACAAGAGATTTTAAATCGAAGCTATTTTAAGTGCAAGGAAATAATAAGTATCAAATAAATTTTAAAACTGATGTTTTCCATAAAGATGCCGCGTGCTTTTTAATAAGGAATCAATACTACTTTGAAATAATTTTTTTTCTTGTGAGGTTTGTTATAAATATAAACAGATTTATTTTTATGTATCCATTTGCCCGCTTTCGCTTCAGGTCAATATCGTTTCACTATGTCAACTTAAATTTTATTAAACTCGCTACAATTTATAAGCTGTAGTCATGACATTTTAATTTTGTGGTCGGGGGTTAGTTAAATTGAATATACATATATATATTTGTAGATATATACATATATTATGAGCTTCTTAAAATTCAACTTTTGTTTTATGTTATATTATAATGAGTAATTCATAAAATGTGTGACATATAACTAAGTATATTGTACATATTCTAACGATACTAATTGAAACTGACACTCCGCTCTGTTGCGGCTTGTAACTTGGTCCGCGGCGCCTACCGCTGCAATAAAACACGTATTCCTTCATAGCTCCTTTATTTTTTTTATAACCAATCGTTAATATCGAAACTTTTACAGCCGCGATGCTTTATTACCGCGTTTTTCGAGAAAAAAAGAAACAGTTTCAAGTAAAGATGGTAACATGTTAATTCTGTCAATAAAATGTTACTATTTAATGGTGAGAACAACTGTTCGCGATAGGAATGTCATTTGTATTAGGTAGATCTTTCGTTAGTGCCGCCACGATTCAATCTGAATAATCCACATTAAATAAATCCTCAGACATTTAATTTAATAACGCAAAGTCGAACTCAACAAACAGTCTATTTGGCTACCTAAGTAAGCTTTGAATTTCGTTTGCTTCATACGCTAGTAACTTGTTTGCTTACAAACTACTAATTAGTATCATCTAATTCAATTCTCGACTCGAGTTTAATAACGTAAATAGTTAAAGATAAAGTATCGCAACGGAAACACATCCAAACTGTCTTTAGAGGCAGGGTGGTAAATTAACAAAGTGAAGTTTGTAATATTTAATTATAAATAATTAGCTCGCCGTGCATCGGCGCGCATTATAACCACAACCACCCAATAGTTGGGGCGAGAAATTAATAAATTAAAGCCACTATGTTTTTGTAACCGGACATCTATAATCGTATCATCTTGATAAAAAATCTAATTATGTGAACATTTAATATTGTGTGTTATTTGTTTAGACAGCCATTTAACTGACGGATAGTAAATTATTTCTATACCTATATAATTTAACTTTGTTTATCACGGTGAATCCGTTGTAATATTCTTAATTTAATAATAAGAGAATATAATAAGAGAATAAACTATAAACAAATATGCAGTATAAGCACTGTGACACGGTACGTGGTTACGAAAAGACCGCTGCTTCAAGAAACTTATCGAATGACGCTTATTTAGAAATAAAAAACAAGGTTCCGGCGTATTGACGCAAAAAGTAGAGAAATTGGTGCAATTTGTCTGACTCTGACCGCAACCGGATCAGCAATCATTTGCTTCTGTGATCTTTCTGTCACCCATAATAGAAAAAACTATGGGATGTGGCTTTATCAAGGCGATAGATTTACGTCGAGTTCATCAACTATGTCTATATTAGGTTATTCAATATACTTTACTCTTTAAAAAAATCGAAAAATAGGAAAATATTATTCATTTGTTTTATTTTTAGAATTTTCTACATGTTTTCTCCATTTTTTTGTATGTTTGACTATAATCATTATTAATATACAATACTTTTTAAATAATATAATATATTATTTTTGCATAAATTTTAGCTAAAGAAATGAAATGGAGCATGAATAAAAATCTTTCAAAAACTGCTCCAATAGTTGGTTTGGTTTTTTGTCCGCTTTATAGTTGTCATAACTGTCAGAGTAACGTTTGTATAAAATATTCTGAAAATCCAAGTTAAAACATACAAACATTGTAGATGTTTTTGAAACAATATGTATATGTTTAAAAATATATCGAAACAACGTCGTTTTAATCTGATTTTAATGATAATAATCCTAATCCTTAAATCTTTGAAGGTTGGCTAAAATCTTTTTGTGGATTCTTATTTTGAGTTTTCAACGTGGAAACGAAAAAGTTTTACAAAGTCTAATTGGTCATTATTAAGTTAAAGACTTATTAAAAAATATAATATTCGGAATTACAATAAGTAAATTTTATTTGCAAAAAGCAACGTACACGTAAAAAGGGCAAAATACAAGGGTCATTGTTTAAAAATATGGGTTATTAATTATATTTTCTAATAATCTCCTTTACGTTTTTATTATATTTGTATAAAAAATTGTCATTACTTGGAACTTGACGAGAATTTCATAAAACTGGGCTAATTTCGTCAGCGTTTTCTTTTTCTTTCGTTTGAATTCTCTTAAGTATAGTAAATTATTGAAATGATTATGCTTACTGTTTTAACATTACAGTTCTTTAAGTGCTAATTGTCATTTACACTATACATTTTTTTCTCGTTGAAGTGTCTTTTGTTTCTTCGTTTTTTTTAATTTAGAGCATTTGAAGGATTTTGTAAGGAAATATGCTGGAGGAGAAAGAATTTTATAGTCCTTGAGAGCCAGCAATAAAATGGGAACCAACTCACGGAGGACAGCTAATTGAAAACTTTTCGCCAGACCATTACCAAATTACTTTTAGTTTATGAAAACCACTTATACGTCTGCATTCCGTTATTTCAATTTCCAAAAGAAATGGCAGACTTCAAACCACCTTCGACCTTACTATAATGTGCCATACCATTTTTGAGTGACTTTTTTTAAAAAAATGTTATATTTACTTGGTCATATTAAAAACTATTATATATTTCCATTGAAATATGTATGTTGTGTGTATCTATTCTCTAATAAAATTGGTGTACCTAATGACTTGTTCCAAATTTATTAATGATGAAATAAAATTTACTTTTAAAATATATCTGGGAATTTCAACTACTTGTTTCATCAGAAAAATTAACGATCTGGTAAATTTTCTATTGAGCATAATAATGCGTGTGTAACGATATCTATGTTTAGATTTTCCTTTTTTTTAACACTTCATACAGAATATTAACATTTTTGGCTATCGCAATGTCTTTCCTTCGAATTAAGAAATTTAATATGAAATTTTTAAAGTAACGAAATTAAAATCTGTACATAACTAAAATAACTGAAGTGTCACATAAAGATGGAAATTCATTCATCTAAGTTTAGTTATCCGAAAAGATTTTTCTAGTACTCAGGCAATTACCCTTTGGGTACGAATTATTGCAGTATTTGTAAATATACACTCTCGTTCCCAGCAGATATGTACGTGCGTATTTAAGTAAGACGCATAATAAGTCTTGTTATTTTAATAATTAATTAGAGGTAGTGTAAATTTCCATTAACTTTAAGTTTTAATCATTGGCCTGTGTGATGGTGAATATGTTATCGGATGTAGATTGAATATGTTACTGGTAGTGTATATCAGTGTGAGCCTAATAATATTAGTTTAAAAAGATGTATTCATACTACTTTTTTAATTTAGTGAAGTCAAGCTTTATAAGATTAATTTATAAGTTAAATTGAAATAGCTGTTGTGACATTTATCATAACTTATTTATTTATTTTATCTTCACTTCTCATTTTGGAAAGTCGTTTCGGTCACAGATTTACAAGCTTTGGTCAAATATTTTAAGAGATAAGCGTTCTCATTTGCATAGCATGGAATGGTTTATATGATATCATTACCTAATGGAGACCGAAATCCCCAGACATTCTTCACCGGGCTGACCTATCATCGTCAATGGAGTCCTTGGCTTACGATTCTTCGGTTGCATCACCGGGAAGTGTTTCAAGTCATACACAGCGTACTAAACGTATGCGCACCAGCTTTAAACATCACCAACTTCGCACAATGAAATCGTATTTCGCCATTAACCAGAACCCAGATGCGAAGGATCTTAAACAATTGGCTCAGAAGACTGGCTTATCTAAGAGAGTTTTACAGGTAAGAAAACAGTTATTTAAATGGATTGTGTTATTTTTATTATCGATAAAGGGTAAAGAAAATTATATGGAGTATATTTTCTATAGGTTTGGTTTCAAAATGCTCGAGCGAAATGGCGTAGAAATATGATGAGACAGGAGTCAAATCAGCTTGGACTGATGACTCCTAATGGAAGCACGGGACATTCTGTTAATGGTGGTCTTGTCACAGGCGTACCTCCACCAAATGTAGATCCTGGTATGATCATGTCTGAACCATTGCAGCCCATGCAAGACATTAGGGTTCACACTCCTCATCCAATGAGCTTCGGAGAAATGTACTGACAATTAAACAACGACGTCGTTAAACAAGAATTCAACGAGTAGAATTCGTAGACTTCTCTCATCGTGATTAAAAATAAATTATTTCTATAAATTATTATAAATTTATTTATAAAGTAGATTACTTAACATAAGGTTGCAGGTATTTATTTCTAATATAAATACCATTTTGGCCAAATAATTAGTACCACATGAAATAAATACGGAATTGTGTATCATAATTAATTAATTAGTTTTAGAGCTAGAAAACATGTAGACACTTTTGACGCCTATAAATATTAAGGTAATAAGAGTTATTAAGTGCTTAATTTTAAATTGCTTACCAAATAACAACAACAAAATTATAGGTCACAAAATCTAAACTCAGATTCTATGTTTTTAAACGTTAATTTATTACTTTGTGTTCATTAACGCAAAAAAAACTTGCAATTATTTTTGTCGTGGATTATACAATATATAAACTTCTAAAGGCACATTTTTTGTTATTAATTTGCAATTTGCTGTTACAAATTATAAGAATAATTACGTTTCCATATTAATTTACTATTTCAAGTGAGACTAGTCAGAATTTAGCTTTTAAGAGTAAATTAGAATTTTCGACAACAGTAAACAACAAAGTGTAATACCATGACTTACACATTTAAAGATTAAGTTGACTGTACTGTGAGTGTAAGCTTTAAAAACATTTGAAATTCTAAGAGCCATCAAATCTTGGTTACATTTATTTTAATTTTTTTTAAGGATAAACTAATTTTTAAAAACAATTTTAACATTGTAAATCATTAAAAGCGATTATCTATTAAATCCTATATTATAAACTGAGAAGAATACTGAAGACTATAAGCTGTGTTTCGATCGATATAACCAAATATTGAATATATAATATATTCGATATAATAAAGTTTCATAATTTTATCAAAAACACATCTCTAAGGTGATTTGTGAAATATTAAAAATAATTTGAGCGTGCTTTTTTACCATATAAAAGACAAGTAAATATATTTTCTAGAAAATTTAATGTGGGCACCATTAAGGAAGAATTATATCGAATGGTTATGTTTATGCAAAATTAAATAATAAAATGCGTAAAGTTTTATAAAGATATTAATAATAATACCTCACTTGCCAATAACTTGAAGTAATGCACCAGAATAACATGGGATATAACCCACTACTACTTTTAATGAACCTATTTAAATTTTAACATTTCATTCCAGTTATGTCAACTTGAACATTCCTTATTTAATGATATAAATTATTGTACACGTTGTATCTTATGTATAAAATGTATTTAATCTTGTAAACTGTATGTAATTATCACTTTACTCATGCATTTAATCAGGACACTTAGTTATACTATTAATATATGTATAATCTCAAAATATATTTAGTGGTTATGTAATAAATTCTGCACTTAAAAACAAAATGACGGGGAATTGTTTCTTTGCTACGTATTAGTACTAAAAATATACAGTCTATTCATTAAAGTTCTGAAACTCAATAATTAAAAACGTTTCTTTTTGTTACGAGAAACACATTATTGTTATTTACATCTAGAACCAACGACCCTTATTTACTCGTTTATTGCTGTAAGAGGTATTGATTTTATTGTAAGTAAAGAGGTTATGTACACTCCAGGAATACAAAGAACCGAAAGGCTACCACTTATCCTATATGAAACCCTCTGTGTTCGGGTTGATTTGCACTTGTCTTGTTTCATAAGATTTTATATAACGTTATAATTTATTTCTGTTTGTTTTTTTTTTTTTTTTATTATTATTATTATTATTATTATTATTATTATTATTATTATTGCGTTCTGTTTATTAAATATGATATAAATGATATTGTATAATTTTGTGGGATAAGTTGAATGTAATCCTATTTATAATTTAAAATTAATATATTGACATCGACACTACAACGAAGTTTTATTTCCACCATATTAGAGACATGACAAATCACAGTAGCACGTTTCTCATGAAACTTATAGGTTCTTAATATATTAACAGTAGCAATGGAATTCATTAAAATATTGACATTCTATAATAAATCCAGGGAAGTTATTTTAACAAGATCGCATAGCGATTTCGGCGGCGAGTCATGTGACCATAGAGCAACTCTACGAATATTGTATCAATACAGGTATTAATTTAGATGTCCTTTGAAACTCTGAGGTATTTTAATGATGTTAAATGCTTAGGCCTATTAGTTCTTGGTTTTGAATCAGAAAATCCCCCGTTTTTTTATCTTTTATTTGTTCACAGGGAGTATATTTAATTTTTACAGAGACAATATGTGTAGGTCATAGACATAAAAAATATGAGACATAAAATTAGGGCTCAATCTACCCCCCACTTAAAAAATACCTGCAAAGGTATAAGGCTAGTATAAAAAGAGCATAATTTTAATAATATTTCTATCAATAAGCAATAGGATAAGAAAAATTTGTAAAATATCTTATCTTATTAAAATTGCAATAATAATCAAATTAATAAATAGTTTAAATGACTTAAACCAGAATCAGAAACAAATTGTTCATAAAAACCTACATCTTATTGGTTCTGAAAATTAAAACACTTAAAGACGCGACATAATTACGTTTTATTTACTTAATTGAAGTAAAGGAAGCATCCCAAACATAAAAACTGTATATTCACCACAAAAAACCTTCATCCCAAAAACTTCAACGTCAAAATCCGTCAAATTCTCATTGTCATTCACCGCAATCAACTTGTCTCCAATGACATCGTAAAAGAAACTCGTCTTGCCTCCTGTTTTATTTATAACGCAAAGTGAACACCGTTTCATACCATTTATTCATTAAAAAAACATTTAAAATCATGCGCTCGAAGTCGCCACAGAAGCGTGGAAGGCAAAAAATTGTTCGGCCGCCGACATACAGAGTCGAAAACGAGTACAATCCGGAAGCAATGCCTCAGTATTTTCAGGTTATGTATCCGCGGCTTATAAATTATTTATTATGGGCCCTTATTGGTAGGATCTCGCGTTTGTCTTTTTGCTCAAAATACAATGGATGGCCGACGTTGCGGACCAGTGATGTCGATGTAAATTATAGTGCATGCTACTTTAATTTAATGTTTTTCATGTGACATTTTGCGATTTGAGAGACAGCTTAATGGTTCCACCTTTCGTTTAGACGTACATAGAATATGCTGAAAATTTTGCCACTAAATTTATAATTATAATATTACCTTATATTAATATAAAAAAAACAACTATTTTGCCAATTAAGAAGTACGCTGCGAGAGTTCTTGAAATTAACTATAATTTTTGATATTTTTTTTTGTTATAAATTTTCTATGTATTTAAGGCAGTGATAAATGTGGATTATTCATAGATACTTAATTCTTTTCACCCACAATTTTATAATTTATCGTACAAAATAAATAGATTTCAGTAAATGTACTAGAGGGAAGGCGGTTAGCATGGACGAATCCGCATACGGCAAATTCTTATGTTCTCATTGTTCTTGGCAAGAAGAAACACAGAACGAGCTTAAGAAGAAATATGGAGGAGCCATGTTATAGAGAAGTAATATTATATAATAGAAATATAAAAAATACACAATATCTCTTTAAAAATATTATTATAACTCGTGATATGTATAATATATTCACCATAATATAATAATATGTAGTTTTTTCTTAGTTAACTAATTCCACACACCATTATACCTACTGAATTATATATCAGTCTAAAATTTAGTTAATTAACACATCCTACGTAATATGTTAGGTTGTTATATATGAGAGGTTATTGTGGTTCCAATATAAAATTAAGTTAAATTTGATGTTTATTGTGTAAATTTTGCTGCTTCAATTCTGCTACAATATACCAGTTAATTTTCAATTTTCAATTGTAGAGCTTTGTTTATGATTTATATACAACTGTGAATGAACTGAAGCAGACAGCATTGTGGCTAGCGATAATGGAACCGAGATTCTGTGCCCCGCCACGATTGTTAGGAGAAGCCAGTATCGACTTAGGAGAGATTTGGTCTCAGCCTCGTAATTATCATTTTGTGTCCTTCCATAATATTTTAAATTATTTTATTATTTATAATTGTTATAAAGTTAATCATGTTAAAATAATATCACTAACAATGATCTAGATCATCAAGCCTTTCATAAATGGGCGCAATTACTTCATCCCCGCGATTGGGCTTCTGAGCCGGTCGGTTTTCTTCAAGTTGACGTGTCAATTATTTCAAAAGCAGAGGAGCAAAACACATTGCCGATAATTGGAAAAGAGATATTAGAAGAGTAAGAATGTTATTTTAGTGAGCTAAATTTTATTACAAATATTATGATACAAAATTTGTATCACATGATTGGTTAACCTGCCTTAGTAGGTTAAAAAATGTTACAGACATACACCAAGTCCAAACTGCAGAATTGGATAACTTAAAATAATATATTGTAATAAGTTTTGTCTTTTAAGAAATTTTATTTAATCTTTCAAATTACACCTGAGAAACGTAATTACAACAAACAGTTTATATAGCTACTCATACCATAGGAGACTTTTTTCTTGCGTGGTATTTTGTCGAGTCAAAATAAATATAAACTCTTACATAATGTCCATCATCATTAAATAATGAAATTTTTTTTTTTATATTATTTGAATATTTCCTTGATAATTGTAAGTGTTATTTTTATTCATATAAATATTTATATCATTGTCTCCATGAATTTTGTCATAGGAAGTAATAATTATTAATTCATTTTTATAACTTGTAATATACAAAAATTTTAATACATTGAATATTTATGTTTGTCATATCAATTTCCTAGCAAACTGCTTCTTCACTCTGATGCTCAACAGCAGTGCGCCAATTATGTCATCACAGTGCATGCAGCTTTTGGTCTACCTAATAGCACCCACAATGAAATAGACAAGCGTATTGGGAACCCTCCCAGTACTTTCGTAAAAGTTTCCTTTTGTGGCCTTGTGGTAAATTTAACGTTAATCAAAATGTTTCTGATATTTACTTTAAATACTGAATAATATCATAGATTTATTAATTATTCCATTCATCTGATTTGAAATTCTAATAAAATAAAACAGATCCTTAGCTGTGTTATAAACTAACTATTATTGTTTTTATAGGCCAAAACTGGTATAATTCGTCGTAATAACAATCCAAGATATAGCGAACAAATATCTATAGTGGAAATGTTTCCTAACATGTGCCAAGCCATTCGTTTCGAAGTTTGCTCTGTCGAAAGGTGCTTTCATCGAGTTATATCCTGCACCCAATTGAAACTCGGCCAAGTATCACATGACGGAGAGAATGGTATCTAACATTGCTATTTATAGGCACCTTGTTAAATTGTATGCGTTTGTGTTTGAATTTACTAAAACTGTGTAGATATAACGCAGTTATTGAAAACCAATATAAACTAAATATTAAGCTAGGAACTCAAACCAGTTTATGATATTGTCCCATAGAAAATTAACAAAAATATGTCTATATACTAAATCTTAAAGTAGATATTTATGCCAAAAGCTATTACTCCCATTTTATCCCATATCCTACGAGTCCTGTTTATTTTTGTTTTAATCATCGAAACAGTCATCGACTTTGAAAGCTTAGACTTGATAAATCAGGTTGCGATAATTTTGCTCTAAAGGAATTTTAGCATTTTTATTCATAATGACATTGTAAATTTTAAGACGTTGGATAATGTTGGGTATATAATATTGGTTAATTGAACTCTCAGTTTATTTCTTTTTCAAGGATTTGTACCAACGTTTGGACCATCCATGATCCAAATGTACGGTACAACTTGTGGCGACTCCTCGACTGTGATGGGTCAGGAGAGTCCATATCATCGTGGAGCTTTGGTTGTTACTCTTAGAATTGTAGTACCGTATTATCAGCGAGGAATCAGAACTATATCAGTCGAACCAGTGCCACGTATCAATTTAGTATAAAGTTTTTGTTTATAACAGACTTTTCTCATATTTGAGAAACCTCATACATTGTTTAATTACTCATTTTAGTGTAAACAGTAAACAAATCTTGTATTTGTATATAATTACAATTGCAGGAAAACATTTGGTCCTATGAAGACGTTTGTATTTTTTGTCCAATATTTGAAGTTTCTATGTTAGATCGCAAAATAGTGGGTAGATTTTGTGGTATTGCGATCACAGTTGGAGATTTACCGAGTGACGATAGACCAGGCACAGGTATTTTCCGCAGTACAAATATGATAAATATATATGTAATATAACAAATTTATTATGTTACCTTGTTCTTCGTTGGCGAGGGCTATTGGACCTTATAACAGTTTCTACTTAATTAGTATGTAGTGGTGGCTTTATTTTCTCTGTTTAAAAACATGTTGAACAGATTTTTATCAAACTTATAATATGTATTAAAAATCAGATTTTCTTTTCATTAAGATACGTATCAGGATAACTTTGACTCGTCGACACATAGGGTAGGTACTATGTAATTTAAGGATAGTACCAAATTAAGTTTAATGTTGAATATATGTTGAGGTAATTGGTTTTGAATAAAACTAAGTTGTGAATTACAAAAGCGTCTAAAACAGTTATATAACGAAGAGCATTTATTTAGTAAATGTACGTAAAAACAATTTTTCTTTCAGACTTCTTGAAGATGATGACTGAAATAGGCGAGTATCTACGATTATATTAGTCGTGTAGAAAATAATGTTGTTTCATGAAAACATAAGACAACAAGTATAGTAGGTACTTGTATAAAATACGAAATTTATATTGCATGAAAATGCTTTTCTTCTTTCTAGAAACTCGTAAACTGCATAATACAGGAAATCTAGATGTTCATAAACATAAAAGTGTATATGGCTATGTTGATTTTTGTAACTCTTTTCCTGTTCTTCAATATGCTACTCGACTTCCAGATTTTAGATGTAGAATGTATAGAAATAATATGATTTATGGAATCCAGAATGGATTGGTATGTTACTATATCAACATCATGAAATATGTCTTCCGTCATAATGAGAAATATTTTTTAACAATTTATGTGAAATATGATAAAACTTAACTCAGGTGAAATCACTAAATGAAATTCAAATCAAGTTGAAAACTTTTGATTATTGCTATCTGAGCGACCTCGAGGACGAACTCCATAAAGCAATAGACGAGACAGCTGGAAGTATTCTTAAGTTCATAGATATAGTACAATCCACGGTTGTATCTGTCCCTTGTCATAATGTTATTCAGTACAACACCGAATTAGATCTTAAACAGATGGAGTTACAGATGGAGGAACTTGTATGTTTTTTTTTTATTATATCGTGTGCATGTTAATTTCATGATGATCGAAATTAAGAATTCATATTTAACATTCTAATATTATCGTAGCTTTGTTATTTTTTATATTATCAAAACATTGTTATTTATTTTTTAAAATAAAATATGGCTTAACATGTTATGATTTTACAGGAAAAGATACATCAACAGATAACATGCAAGTCTAAATGTTATTCAATGTATAAAATTCAGGAATTTAGAGACGTTCCCAGTAATTCCAAAAAAGTTGTCAAAGCATTAATAAATGAAGCTAAGAGTGTGGCGCAACATTTAAACAGTTTAATCTACAAAGTTTGTATCCATATGGTTAAATAAAATATTGATAGATTTGCAAAATTGTTCAAAATATTATTATTCATAAAAAGTGTTGTGTAAATTAATAATACAAGAACGAGAGGCTATTTAGTATGGTGTAGCCATATTTTATATTTCTCATAATAGCATAGTTCCAATAATAATTATAATTTAGATATTACGAAAAAATATATATAGATTTTATCATGTAATATTTCAAGGGTTTCTTACTAATATATCAATATGAAAATTTTGCATTTTTTATCTTTGTGTCAGAACTCAGAAGGCTGGCCAGACATCGTGGTTTGGCTTCTTAATAATGGCTCTCGAGTGGCGTTCGCAAAAATATCCGCTGCTGATATTGTACACTCCGTCATATCAGAACAAAAGGGAGAATATTGTGGCCGAATACAAACCCTTTGCTTAAAGGTTCAGTCTTCTCATATAACTCATCAGTAACAAATTAGCAATTCCATTTATTTTCCTCGAAATATAAATAGTTTTTAATTTAGGGATACAGTATATTCCTCATTACTAGAAATCAGATAATATGCATTTGCAAGTGAGAATATGCAAATATAAAAAAATAAATAGTATAGCGTTTTGGCATATTTTATATTGACTTTTGCTTACATATATCAGTAGTTATAGATGTTAGGCGTGTTATACGTTGACACGACCGACTCAACCAAACAACGAACTATGTCTAAAAAAATCTATCGAAGTATTGAGTTAATCAAAGAATTGAGTTAATCAAAGAAACTGAAGAATTAACAATTGGAAAAATCTGCCTGTTATCTATCTTCTAAGAAGTATATAGTGGTAATAAACATGTATATGCTATGCATATTTTTACTTTTTGATAGGGCATATAATTCAAAGTTTAAACATTACATAGATTCGCCCTTATGTTTATATTAACTAGAAAAGTTTGGTATTAAGGCTGAAGTACATTGGTGTTGTTTTAATTTCATTACAGCCGTTGAAATGTCCGAAGCATATGAATTCCCCATTATTGAGTTGTCACTGCGTTGCGGGTAAAGTAGAACTCTTAATGTGGATGGGGCTTCATCGTCAATCATCAGATTTTGAATTCTCTCTACCTCGCGGGTATAAACTAAGAATGAAGAAATACAATATGTTTGTTAAATCTAATATTATGGTAAGACCAGTACTAATACATTATTAGATTTCAATAAATATACGAGCTTTATTTGGCTACTTCTATTCATATGCAAGTGATCTAAAATAGTCTCATTGACATTATACGCAGGTGGTCCGAAAACTAAATTGTCTCTAAAAGAGACATTATTCTTTTAGAAAATTGTGATTTTTTTATAAGTAATATTTAGGAAGTTACAAAGTAGTATGAAACTCTTTACCGTCGTAGTAAAATAGTAAATTTTCTTTGTCAAAAGAGGCTGTCATTTCCATCATTCATGGTAGAACCTATCCAATAAATCAACATAATAATCCCCCTTGTCCAAAATATTTCACCATCATTCGAAGGTTCCTTCAAATATAGAACTACGACACATCATCCTCTTTTTCTATTTCCCTAACCTTCTCGCTTTATGGCTTCTAAAAATAAAATAAAACTATGGGGCAAATCTGATAACATTTGGCAGTAGCCGTCTATGGATATGTTCTATGTGATAATAAACTTTTGTCTTGGTAGTGATGATTCAGCTCTAAAGCTAACTCGTCGGATCTCCCGAGTACATGCTTACAGATTATTAATAAATTTGGAAAAAAAAATTTACACATTCATTTTTTATACATTATTTTTTACATGTATTTAAAATATGTCACAAAAATATAAGTTTCTCATTTTATCACCACTATTTTTAGCTGATCGAATGTAGAGCATTTATATACAAAGCTAAGATAAATTTCGAAGTCCATGGTAATATTCGTAAACCAACTTTTGTAAGAATAAATGCGCTAAATTCTGTGAAGGAAACAGAGGTATATTTATTTAAGTTTAAACTTAGTTTTGCAATATAATATCACAACAATATTTAAATTGATAACTCATTATTGTAGTTGAAATCAGCACTGTCGCCGGTTTGGAACCAGGTTGTTAAGATCAAGCAAATGGTTTTTATGAGCCAACACCGGCTCTTCGAAAGTCCTCCCATTGTTTTTGTTGAAATAAACAATAACGAACTATCAGTTAGTATGTCAGGTCAAGCATTAATAACCTTTAAAACAATGTTAAAGATATTTCGTGACTATGCTCTTTGTACCGCAAAATTGTTAGCTATTTAAGATTCTTAACTATTGATCCCAGAGTAGAAAACAATCAACTCATGCGTTGAATAAAAAATGTGTACTTAAGTTAGATGTTTATTGTAAGGGTTTCATGTGTTTTATAAAAAATCAGAAAACATTATCGGTAATATCTTTACCGAAATTTTACTTTTTGTAAAATTTTATAGGTTTTAAGTTAACTGGGCTTTAACATCTTCGGATGACCTACAAAACCATTTAAAAAAGTCGTTATTTATAAAGCAAAACACATTACTATGCTTTAATGTTAAATAACAACCAGTCCAATACAAATGCTACAACGTGTTGATACACCCATAACCGAGAAGGAAAAACTAGAAAGTGGGTTTTCTTTGGATGCTCACCCTGACAATTTTGTTACCTTTTTAAGCTAAATTACTCAAATAATTTTAACAGTTTGATATTTATTTCATTTTTTTCAGCTGGGACTTTAAAAAGTTATATTTAAAAGTTTTTTATCAAAATAACACTATTTTTATACTTTATAAGTTTTCAAGAAATTGTTACTTAATTAACATTTCGCTAGTTGGAATTTCGAAAAGAAATTTTCATTAATACCTAGAAGAACTAAAAAAACTTTTTTAACGAGTTTTTATTTCTATAAGACATACATATATTTCTTTGTTGTCATAAAAAATAAGTTCCATATTTTAGTGTCATATTACAAACAGAGCTTTTTTATTATTCCATTAAGAAAAATTTCAAGATTTTGTATGTGTATATTGTAAAATGACATGGTAATTTGTAAAGCATCCGTCTCTTCTGCATGGACATTTTAATCATGCGTTTTTATTATTATCAAGCTTTTATATCCAAAATAACTTAATTATTTACTCCTTATGCAATTTTTTATAAAAAGCTATATACATAGGTGTTGCTAAAGTATGATAAGAATTTCTCGAATTATTTAAACTAGCAACATATGATTTTATTAAATATACGTAATAAATTTTAAATAGTTTTTGTTATAGATATAATTGAGTTTTCGCTGGTAAGGCATACATTTTATTTCGTATATGCAATATTTGATTTTATTTTAATAGACGCTTTGTAAAGAACTTTTATGAATTATAAGTTTCAAACGTTTCCATCGTTATTACAGATTTTCATTTTTTAAATCTCTTTGTAAACAACGTAGAACAGTGTAACAAACGAAATCCGTATTTTGTTTATTATTTCAGGGTAAAACGGAATTGTTAGGAAGGATAAAAATTTATCCCGAAGTAACTGATGAACCGAGCTATGAAAATGCACCCAGTCTGCAGTGGTATGATTTTTATCGAGGCACTGAATTCGCCGGACAAATCCTAATGTCAGTACAATTGTTACAGGTGCTTAAGTAATATATTTTACTTTTTGATTGGTATATTTTAAGTATTATTTTATTTACTTCATATTCTACATGTAGGTCATTATAATGTATGTGTGACATAAATATTAAATATTTAAATAGACACGGAAATATATATATATATATATATATATATATATATATATATATATATTCGAAAGATAGTAAAAGAGGGTAAAATAAAAGAGGGTTGATGTCAGGCAGGCGGCCGGTCGTAAAAAACAATTAGCCAAAACTATTACCAACAAGTAAGGCAGACCCTGGCTATAGCCGGGAAATTGCCAAGTAGAAGAAGAAGATATATTCGAATAAGTTTATTAATTAAGTTAGGTGATATAAAAAATAATAAATGTGAGACTCTACAATTTATAATATTGTATGATGTTGTATCTTACATATGCCAGAAATTGTTCAGGAACATTTTAATCAAAAATTATTACTTATTCAATACCTACTGTAAATCTAAAAAAAATTATTTGCCGTTATTCATGTCCCTAATTGATGAAATAGTTGCGAACAATGATCAGAATATAAATCAATTTATGCAATTGTAAGAGTCGACTAATTGAATTATGTTATTTGGAATTATGGATTTTTTTTCAAAATGTCAAGTGAAATAGATACTAGAAATCAGAAAGAACACTTATATTTAAAAGTCATAATAATAATGAAAAATTATGAAATCTAAAAGTAAGCATAGGTATCTATAACAAAAATGACTCTATGGCTCCATATATAAAATTTAAGGATTTTTATGACCTGACGTTATGGAATATTTTGTTTGAACAGTGCAGCGGTAAATACGTTTTGATCTTATCAAGTCATTTGAAAACAAAAATTTCAAGATATTTCACAAAAAGTTAAGCTAAATTTTAAAATCTACATATATAAAAGTATAATTTCATATGAAATACACATCAGGTGGGAAGGAATATGCAAATGACACTACTTGATTATTATATTTTGTAAATTGATGAATAAAATAGCTCAGTTATATCCACCGCCACCTACAGATAGAAAGATAATAGTAGGAGGACTTGGTTAACATTGGAGTTTTGTCTTAAAAATGTTATAACTTTTGCATAGAGGTCCTTCCGTTAAATGAAAGTGAATAAATTTACATAAATGTATTTTATTCCTTAAATCAAGAACGAAATATGTTTTACAAAGTGCAATTAAGTTATAATTTTATTGAAATACGAAATAAGCAGAATATACTCTTGAGCTCCATCTAGCGGACTTTAAAAACACCAATCGTTCTAGGTCGCTTCACAGATGATTTTGTTCCTTTTAACAGATGTCACTATAAACAAATCTTTCTGAAAATTTAAAATTATGTATTTATTTCAAGATACCCGAGAGATTACTTAGGTCTACTGAATACACTTCAGAAGATGAAATTTTCGAAGCGAACACTGTTAATGACGCCGAGGTTTTTGAAGGAATTGAAAGTCTTCCAATGAACCTACTTCCAAAACCTTCTACGTATAAGTAAGTTAGTTAAGAAGAAAGTGTATGCATACGATTGCCTTCATTGATATAAACTTTATTAATAAAAAAAAAATTCCAAGTATATGTAATTATTTTAAATTGTAAAATGTAAATAAATTGTAAATAACTTTAGGTAGAATAAAGTTAATTTATTCTATTATTGTCTCTCAGAGTCGATGTTTATTGGTGGGGACTTCGGGATATTGATTCAATGAGAAAACCCTGTGTTGTAATGGAAGTTGAGGATCTCAGTATAAAATCTGAAATAATTACAGATAAGTCTAACAACTGCAATTTTTCTAAAGGTCGAACCACGCAGGTTTTTGAGGCCTATTTAAACGAAGCTTATTGTCTTCCACTAAGAATAAAATTGTATGATGCCAGCACTTTTGGGAGATCGCTATATATGGGAACTAATACTGTAAAAAATCTCAGTAAATATATGATAAAATGGCTACCCGGGGATGAGAGGGAGGCTACTTTAAAGTCTGTTTCGATTATGTCATCAGATTTTATTCAAGGTGAAAAATAATATTCCAAATTAGGGAATTCATAAAATTACCATTCAATAAGTTAAGCACTTATATTGTTTTCAGTAAATAAATATGTATATATGAGGAAAAGTTCTAAGTTTATTTGTGATGACGCCTATGGCAGTAAAATATCTATGAGGAGTTTAAGTACCACTAAAACGGCGCACAGAAAATGGTATAATATATTCAAAAATAAAGAAGTGGATGAAGAGAAATATACTCTATTGCCCATCTTTATGGATAAACTTGAGAATAAATTGGCAGCCAAGACCTCAAACACGAAACCCAAGGACTGGTGGTTTCGATATTTATGTTCGCAAAAAGTAACCCCTTACGAACAATTACACAAATTATATGTTAACTACATTTTACATGAATCATATCCAAATAATTTATGAATCTTTATTATTAGTAGCCTTTATATCTTAAATGTAGAATTGTTTAATTGTAGGATTACATTGACGACGATTCTTCTATATTGAACACATTTCATAAATTGATCGTAAGTAATGATAACCAATTTTATCATGTTATACATATATATTGTATGGCTAAGATTTTTTGTGGTTGTAGTAATATTGAATTAGAATACTGTTAGCATTGTAAGGATTTAAGGAAACATATTTCAGATATACGAAACAGAAGTTGAGACTCAGCCACAATTTTCCAAGTTTAAAGATTGGTGCGCTACACTGAAACTTTATAATGGAAAGAAAACAGGTATTCCAGATAAGGACGAGAAGCTTTACTGCGGTTTCTTAAAGGCGGGATTTGCGATATATAAGTGGCCGCCGCCAACTAACACGATCGCTGTTACTCCCAGCGGAATTGACTTAAATAGAGGGTAAGGGTTTAAGGCGTCAAGTTATTGATTTCGTGATTTAGTAGAGGAATCGCTTTTTGCTTTCATTTGATTTTTTTTATCAGTTGATTTTGAACAAGTTCAAGTTTGAGGTTTCAGTGTATTGATTAATTAAATCGATTACGATGAATATTTATCGCAGGCTGTCAATTATTAAGAAGCATAGTAAATTGGTGTTACAATTACAAAATATTTTCTTTCTCACGTAAATTTATTATTTTAATAGTGTATGTTCATCGTAGATTTTTTGACGATCATCCCCATAACAATCCTGCTGAATTTCTCGTCCGCGTTTACATTGTGAAAGGAGTTAATCTCAAATCTAAAGAGTTTATTGGGAAATCTAATCCTTACATCGCGTTAAATTGTGGAAACAAACACATAGCTGACCGAAACAACTACGTCCCGAACTCAGTTAATCCAATATTTGGAAAGTAAGGTTTTATACCAAATGCAAACTACTTTTATAATTTGCTTTGTATTTTGATCTGATTAAGTTAGACATTTATGGGTAATATAAAATAATACATTATTTTTATTGGCACAATACTATTATCCTTACTAACAGAATGCATGAAGTTCATTGTTGTCTGCCTGATGACTATCTTTTGGCAGTTTCGTTATATGACTACGGAATAAACTCGCCTGATAAATTAATTGGTACAACAACAATTGACCTAGAAGATCGCATCTATTCTAAACACAGAGCCCGAGTTGGTTTACCTTCAGATTACAGCCTGTAAGATATTATTACATAAAATAAATCATAAAAAAATATTTATTCTTAACTCAGCATATTAATAAATCTTATACACATTAATATTAAAATGTTAGTAACCAAAATTTTTACGTTTGCATCTTCCATTTTATTATAATTTACATACTTAGGGGATTTATAACATTTTAAATAAATTAGAAACAAATACAGGATGAATTGTAAAGTTAGATATTACAGAGCTTTTAGATTAAATTCATTCTTTTGCATTTATTACAATACTAAATAGAATTTTATGTATAGGTGTAATTTTTAAAAAATATATTTCTTATCAGAAACGAACCTTTCAAATGGCGTGATTGTTTGAAGCCTTCGGAAATTCTCGACGAAATTTGTTCAAAGAACCATCTTCCGCCTCCGAGATTCATAAACAGCAATACCTTGTTAGTCAATGGTGTAGAATATAGAAACAATGAGAAAGGTCTGTTATGTCATTTACATGTACCCTACGAAACTTTTAAACTTATTAACAATTAAATTTTATTTGTTTACCCAAAATCTACATATTATAAAATCTAAAAGATGTTATATTTTACTATTATATTGTCTTCCTAGACGTATGTAATATATTAAGCAATGTATGCTTGCTTGCATAACTTCTTTGTTTTCCTTGTCTCTCTTGACTCATATTTACTATTTACGGCATATTTAAATTTATTGTATAGGTCTGCATAATGCATATCCTTTTCACGGTATTTTTTTTCAATAAGTGCGCTCTATCAATAATTGATATTATTCAAAAATTCTCATATTTACAAAATTATTTAATTTTAAATAAGATTGATAAGGTTTTTAAATAGCAATATTCATACTAATATGCAATTTACGTATATTTATTGAATCAAAGATTGAAAATCATAAATTTGGTAGAAATTCTCTGTGAAAAAATATTACAGATACTACCTATTCATCAGCTGCTCTGCAAAGAGAAAAGCTTTGTTTGAGTATTCTACATAAATGGCATACGTTACCAATTTGTGGGTATTACCTTGTTCCCGAACACGTTGAAACAAGGACATTATATGACCCAAATAAACCGGGAATCGAACAGGTATGGCATGGAAATATATTTAATAGTAATAAAATTTATTGTAAGTCGTACTAAAACTAAATTATTATTTGTTCGTGTACGCTTTGGAATTTTGCCAATAATATGGCTATGATTTATAATTTCCTTTATTTTGTATTCTAACTATACCACACATGTAGTACACAGTATACTAATTTTAGGGTAAAGTTCTATTGTGGGTGGATATTTTTCCTTTGGAAGCGGGTGTTTATATCCCTCCTCCCATCAAAATTACCCCCAGGGAGGCTGAAGATTATGAACTTAGACTAACTGTTTACAATGTTCGAATCAAGATGAGTGACTTAGATAACTTAGGAAGAAAAGTCTCTGATATTTACGTGAGAGCGTAAGTTTTAAAATATCACGCTCACAACCATTTAAGTAGTTAGTGGAACGACTTTAATACGGTCACTGTATTTATCGAAGAAACCATCCGTTACTGAACATTTTCTGTTTACGCAGGAAATGAAAATTAAATATAATGTATATTGTACCAAAATGGATAAAAGTACTGTCAAATATCGTTTTAACTTAAATTTAGAAAGAGTTACTTTTACTAAAATGTTTTACTTTAGGTCAACAACTTTTTTTATTCTAGCTCTAGCTACACAAAATAACATTGTTTATTTTATTATATTATTAAGGAAAAATATAAGATGGTACTCGGGCAAGCTTGAAAAACTATACGAAAAATAATATGTACAAAATCATTTTAGCTGGATCGGTTCTTCAAATCTATATCAAAATACAGATGTTCATTACCAATGTTACGAAGGGAAAGGTAATTTTAATTGGAGAATGATTTTCCATTTCAAATACGAACACGCAGACAGGAAGGTATATGTATTAAATTTAAGAACTATTTCTGTAATCATGGTAATTATAATTTATTGGAGCGAAATGTCAAATTTACTGCAAAATTTAATGTCAAAATTTACTGCATATTTGTTAATAAGACTATTCGGATAAGGTTCTAAATTAGTTTTAATATATTTTTTACGCTTTCATTGCAGCTTGTTAACACAGAGAGTGGTATCTATACAGAAAGTGGGGACAACGTACCGCCTGTACTAGTTGTTCAGGTTTTAGACAATGATGATTTAAATCAAACCGAGGATTTAGGTAGTCAACGACATGTGTATATTTAAATTATTTATTATTAATATGCTCACAGTTTTGGAGGGAAGATTGTCTAAAGTAGTTAATCTCTTTTTAAAAATAAATTTAAAGTTACAGGTAGTAGTAGTTGTGATGAACTAATACAAATAACAGAATAAAAATTACTCTTATCGAACTAAATAAGTGTAATTTTTATTCTGCAAATTGTATAAACGGTGAATTGAAATTCGTTATAGAGGAGGGCGGGGTTAGTTGAGCAATTTTTCACTCAGCGGTTATGGCATATCAACGATAAGGGCTTAATGGCTTGTTATGCATTCTGATGGATTAGTAATTTTTTTGCAAAACTCTCCACAGCATTTTTTCAAACACATTGAATTTAGACCCATAGCTATTCTAAAGTAAAAAATATAAATGTAATATTAAACATGAAAATGATTGATAAATTCAATCTTATATCAATAAAATATATGCCCTTTAGGTAAGGCAATCGCTTAAAAAGGGTTAAATTGTGGTTTAACTGTTAAGGAGACCGAAAGGAAATTTACCTTTCTCAATCTATTTATAATTTAACTTTTTCGGTAACCAACAAATGAATAAAAAGCAATTTTCTCTGAATGATCAATCGACAATTAAATTATAAAACATCAAATATGTACCTTAAAGTTAATTTGAAATAAAGATACGCAGACTTTCTGTTTAATATCAATCATAATAAAAATATTCGTAATAAAATAAATTAGACTATGAATAATAAGAAAATATTTTTAAAAAATTGAAACATAATGATCATATCCAATTTTGTAATTGGTAAAAACCGGGATAGTTTGTTACATAGCACTTCCCTTGTAAACTTAACGCTGAATGCACGTTTGTGTCTGCAAACAATAACATACGCAGCATATCAGGAAAAGTCAATACCGTTACTTTCCTCGTACGAGAATCGAGAAAGCGACTCCCTCTCTAGTTCTTTTCACAGTATTTATTACACAATCAAATTTTTTCTCCGCTTATTTTTTATTGTTGTTTCTAGTTCGTGAATTGTCGTTCAGCTAACACGTCCCTGAAGTTAAAAAGAAATGAGCAAAAAAACTGTTATATTTATAAAAAGAATCTTATATAATAATTATTAATAAACTAAATAAAAATATACAGACAAATCGCTTCAGCTTACTATTATTTTACTTTTGGAAGTGAAAGAGCGCTTGTATTTCATATGATTAATGAGTCTTCAGCGGCAGTTACACATTAGTTCCTCTCTAGCGATCCCTTCTTTTAGTTATTCCATGTTTTTTGTCATCTCATCTTTTATCCTCGAAGAAATATATTTTCGACCTTTATTCTCCTTGACTGATAAAATAAAAATAATCAGAATGATATTATAAACAGATTACTTAAAAAATATATATATTTTCCAGGGAAAGTTATGCTAAATCTTAACGCTTTGACTTGTGGAGAGAAGCAAGCTCAGGACTGTTCCTTGGAATCCTTGAATAATAATAAAAAAATTGATTTGTTTTATTCCGAATCTATAAAATCCTGGTGGCCTTTAGTCGCAGTTGATGAGAGTTCTGGAGCATTCATATTTAAGGTATGAACAATTCTAACAGAATTGATCCTATAATATTTTTCTTAAATTGGGTTACACATGTCTCACGTTTCATGTTGCACATTCTAAGCTTTATACCGGTACTTGAAAAGTTACAGTTGCGTTTAGAATTATTATTCATTACGTTCAGTTTTATATGTACTTATTTCTATGAATTTTGTATTATACTTCTCAGTTAGTATTATTCGTATGTCAAATAAAATTTTACTTTTTCTATATAACTTAATTATATAACAGTCATATAAATACAACTTATAGATAAAGCTAAAAAAAACAATATTATCTCTTTATAATTACTTCTTCTACAACTTTCGTCGTGGTTGTTCCATCTCATCTCAGGAACGTCTGGTTGGATTTAATAATAGCTGATTTAATAAGGAATGACTTAAATTATTGTCACAAAATATTTTGGTTCATGGACACAGCCAGTTTATAATAATACTTACCTTTATAATAAAAAATGAAATATATTTTCGAGAGACACAGTTAGTGATAACAACAATATTAGAAAATATTTTTATTACATAAGATAAGTATCACATATGAAAATATTGTTTAAGGGTTGCATACATTTAGAACTGACATTAATGCCATTGGAGAAAGCTGTTGTAATGCCAGTAGGCATTGGAAGAAAACCTCCATTTCCTTTGGCGGAACCTGCGTAAGTGTAGCATTTAAAAATTCATTACAGCTAAAAAGCTGTTATTTAGAAAATTGTTAAACTAAACTATATTTTATTTAATATTTTATTTTTTCATGTCTTGTTTTCAATGTAGGTATTATTTTTGTTTTCATAACAGGCGACACGAATTTCCGGGACGATTTTTAGGAAAAATACATCAATTGAAAACTACATTTGACAATCATTTATGTATCTTAGCAGTCCTTTTGAGTTTTATATTTTTGGTAATATTCTTGGTGATGATATATTTTCAGCTACCGTCAATTATTTTTGACTTTATCGATATTATTTAGGTTTTTTCTATTCATAAATTGCAAGAAACACAAAAAATTTTAACTTGCCAATTACACAATGAATCTTGGGAAGGATAAAAATATTTTATCAAGTTCGATGCCTTTAATCAAACTAATGAAATTCTTTTGAATGTAAACAGCCACCTACTTTACAAATGAATTTATGCTTATTAACACTTGAATAATGGCAATTGACTTCATTTACGATTACATTAGTAGAAGTTTTTCGAAGGATAATATTGTTTAAGTATTTTTATATTATATGTAAAATAATAATTTAATAAATAAATAATTTATGATAATTTCATTTTATTGATATCCTTTTATTGTTGCATACAATGTTCTTGGTTGTTGATTAGATACAAAGTTTGTCGATTATGAATTACAATATGTCTTATTATAAACCATGAAAAGGGCCTACATTTTTTTATCGATGCAGCTCTATTTATGATAAACTTTGTATCAGCCTCTGATATCCCTAATATATTCCTATTAAAGTATTTTTTTTGTAATCACAATTTTTATTACAACTTCTTCATTAGGTATCAATATTATTATATCGTTATGATTAGAACCGTATAGTTAGTCAGATATTACGAGTATGTTTATGATTTTAATATGGTTTATCATACTAGAATTCTGTTCTAGATGTATGCACAATATATATATATATATATATATATATATATATATATATATATATATATATATATATATATATATATATATATATTTGAATTTTGAGTAAATAAAGAAAGTGACTAATCTTTGGTGATAGGGGTAACTATGATCTGGCCCAAGCAAATGCGTATTTATGTAAATTTGGCTCTGTGTGTTTGTTGCCGCTCGTCAAGAATAAAAGATTGAAGAAGTAAAACAAGTATATCTCACGAATCTCAAAGAAATGGGAGAACTAGGTTCAGATCAAAATTTTCGGAATTACGAAATATTTTTAGAATCGAAAAAGTAGCAGAAATCCTTTAATATTAGTAGTACCAACACAAAACTGTTTACAAAATTTGGTTTCTTAAAAAAATCTTTATATGGACTAAAGATCAATATATGTATATTCGAGGCCAGTGATGTGTATTAATTAAAAAGTAATTTTGTAAAAAAAAAATAATACATAGCAACAGTGTAAAATTGTATAAATAGTTTAGAGTTTAGACATTTAGCAAACCGGTTTGCCGAAAATCCCAAATGAGATACGATAATCTTATAGAAAGTAATAATAAAAAGAAGGTGATATACTTCTTTCATGGCACTACAATTATTTATGCCAATAAAAATACAACCAGACGTTTAGTATTTACAAATGTAGTGGTGCGTGATAATCCATCAAAAGCTTCGGAGAATAACCTCGAATCACGTTCTTCTGTACCTTGAGCAAGCACCACGTAACAGTTTTTATTTGCTTGTAAATAAAACTATTGTATTTAAAAACGCACCTTATTCTATTGCATGCTTGACTTGGCTTTTCATTAAGTGGAATGATTTATTAAAAAATCGTCAGACTTTATATACGCACAAAATCTAAGACATAAAAATGAACTATTTGTATAAGTATAATAGATATATATATATTGATCTGAAGTTCTTCAGTTTTTCAAAATGGTGAATTGTTTTGCACCTTCTAATAAGAGAAGCGCGTTTGAGTCACATCCAAATCATTATTATTATATAATACATTATTGAAAGATTTTTTAAGTTTTTCTTAATAGAAAATTTTATTCTTATTACTTTTCAATTCAATCCTTATACTAGTACCCAAGGCTAAAGGAGTTTCAGCCCGTAATGTAGTGCTAGTTGTTTGTTAAGGAAATTCGATTGTGTAAATATCGGCTATTCTGAAACTTAAACAAAAATACAATCCATATCTATAATTTTACATGAGAGTAATACGGAAGAATTGTTTGTTTATCAAAAAATCTTAAACTATTATATAAAAATATTCTATATATAACTAACTGGAAGTAGTTAAGGAAATACCACATAACACCGAAAAAATAATAATTGGTATGAGCGTAAGGAGAGCGGAAAAAAAGGAAGCGAAAACGTTAAAACATACAGAATTTGTACCGAGGCAGATAGATTAATAAATTCTAATCAGTGAAAATTGAATTTTTTTCTTATAAATTTGAACTAATCACTTACCTTTGTGATATTAAATACTATTGGCATTTTTAAGATCACGTCTCAAAATTAATATAACCTAATCTATTTATTAGTAATTCCACATTAGCAATATCTCTTAAAACTAAAATTTTATAAGTAATTTCAATGTAGAATTCAAACTTCAAGTTATTGGAAAAAATATGTGACTACTTAATATCGACGACAAAATAAGAATGTAAGCATTATCCAATTTAATTGTGTCTGAAACTGACACAGTATGACATTGAATCTCATGAATTATGTTGTTTTATAATATAAGAAATTATAAAAAGTTATATTGTATATTTCTTTTGTAGTCCGCAGCACGCATGTCTATACAAGAGGGCGGTCTCCGCACCGCATTTACTACTCGATGACCATACCAACAACGGTCGTGTTCGTTGCGTTGAGTGCAAATTTCATATAAAAAAGTGTTATTTGTTAGCTGTTACGCGGTAAGTGCTTATTTGTTGTCATAATTTTTTTGTCTTCAATATCTAACACGTCTATTGTCAATGAAGGTTTTTATTATATTTTAAAGTATTAACTAACGCTTTTTTATTTATTATCTAAATATATGGTGGTACTGAGGCTTCTTTAAGTAAAGTAGTATTAGGCAAATTCTATAAAATCTAATCAAAAACTAATTATTAAAATTTTTATAAGTTATTATTACTAGTATTCATGTATATTTATATACATACCTACAAATAATAATCAAATATTCATGTTTATGAAAGATTATAATAAAATTAAAATTTAAAATAAAATAAATTTATTACAGAAGTATTTTTACCTCAATTTCATTTCACTTCCCCAACATCAATTTAGTTCTTTTAAGTTATCTTTTAAAAAACTTACTTGTATTAGGAACTTTTGAAAATTTTTATTTATATTATATTTTCTTAAAGTTGTATTAAAATGAATTTTATTTTTCAATTTGGAATAGACATATACAAGTAGTATATGAATATCATTACAAAAATAAATTATTTCCTCAATCAAAATTTGAAAACAATACTATAAGTATTTAGCATCGGTTGCGACATCTCTATAATATTTTATATTTAAAGTTTCACTAAATTCACCGACTCCGGTAAGATGAGATAATCAGAAATGCAAAACGACTGGGGCACGTTGTGTCGGGACACAGAATACCAATCTACCTAACATATAACACGGCCATAAATCTAAACTAAAATCATATAAAAAAAAACAAAAGCCCAATTTAATTTTTACATTACTAACATATTTTAAACTTGAAATTTCTCTTTATGATCATAGTTTTTTTATATCTTCTTCTCCTTCTTCCTGGCAATTTCTCAGCTTTAACCAGGGTCTGCCTTGCTTGTTCTAAATAGCTTTGGCTAATTGTTTTTACGACCGGCCGCCTGCCTGACATCAACCCCCTTTTGGAATAAATAATCACTCTTTGGGAATCATCATAGTTTTACATAACTTTTCTTAACAAGATTAACAGTGATGTTAGTAGTCGAAAATTGAATTCTATAACGACTGATTAATGTTAACAATACCTTAATTAAGTCTTAATGGAGTTAATAATAATTTTTATTTTATATGTTATATTTAAAAGTATTTTAAAAGCATGTGGCATTGCGGTTTCAACGTATCAAGCCAATATTGATGTAAATTTGAGAGTATAATTAACTGTACAACTCATGTGGTTAAAACCTCTTTAAGGATCATTTGCAAAAGTCTATTTATATTTTTCGTCCGAGCCCCAAAACGGGAGCTTTTTGATATCTCATACTAAAAGTTATTTTATACTGTATTAGAACATTATTTAAATTTAATAAAAACTTGCAGATTCAGGAGTTTGTGTGTAGTTATATGTGTAACAGGGGATGCAGATATTGATACGTTAGTTTAAAAAATAAGAATTACATATGATCTAAATTCAGAGGCTGATCAGTAAGTCTTCATTGATGATACTGAATCCATATTGTTAAAGATTCTTTAGATGTGGTTTTTAAAATTGACCAAAATATTATACTTATTATTTACCCCTTTGTTAAGTCGATTGTTTTGCTCATTGATTACGTCAACGAAGGTTTTATAAGATAAATTTAACAAAAATATTACAGAATTTAAAGATTTTTATTTCTTAATTATCTATATGTTTTTTTAATTAAATAACATAAATATAGAGTTGTCAATATTACTTTGGAGGATTTACTACATATAAACTATTATTGATATAAGCTTAAGAAGATTATACCAGTTAATTAAAGTATATTTGTGACATTAAACGAGTGTTTGGCCATATTTAAATAATACTAAAATGTGCAAGAAAATTTATATCAGACCAATATTTAAATCTTTAAAAACTCCACCGCATCGTGCAATGATAAGTCACACAAACTATTTTTAAAAAATTATTACTTGCTTAAAGTATTGCTTTGCTAAAAAAACAGTTATATATTTGTTAACTCGTATAGTTTTAGTAAACTTTATAAAATGTGCAAATATTAAGTTATTATAGAGTAAGCTTAGCGACATAATTCCTTTTCTTGCT